ACGGCTTGCTATTGCGTGCTGCATGTAGCTGCAGGTTTAGAGCTCGCAGTGGACAGCTTTGCATTGCGCTTCTTCAGCACAGGCGACATGGAGGCAGCAGTGATGAATTGGAACATTGTGCAAGCCACATTGCGACAGACTTCGTGCAAACTCAGCGACTTCCTGGTACTCCTAGCTTCGTCCTGCGTGGGGGCGTTAATCATATTTGCATATCAGATCGCGTCCCTGACTCTCTCTGGCGACGGAGTGTCCATGGAGAGCATCATCAAGTGGCTAGGCTGGTTGTACTCTCCCCTGATTCTGTTTCTCTATGTCCTTTCGAAATCAGCAGCCGTCACGGAGAAGGTCGATCGCTTGGCACCCCTTGTGAATTCCTGGTCATTCGATGGTCGCGAGACCCTGGACGAATCGCGACAGTACGTGGTGTCATATATCCTGCATAGCCATGCGGGTTTCTATGCTCGCGGTATCCGCATTACATCCGCGAGCGTGCAGAAGCTCGTGTACTACTTCGCAGCAGGGTCGTGCGGTCTCCTCACTAACTTGTGGCAGAGATAGCATCCGATGGAAAGATACGAAAATAATATCCGTCAGGCTCAAGGTGGCGCGTGGCTTCTCCGACTTCTTCCATTGTGTGATGCTTGTTGCCCTGAGCCTGAACATTCGGTTCCGAGTCTTTTGCTACTGCTACAGGTCCAATAACTGGACCTGAAATTCGACCCATGCCTATCAAGCAGGTGCATGAGATCCTGTCTCTAACCTGGACTCTAGTAACAAAAGTCCAGTCAGTCGAGAGTTTTTCCCAGCTCGGTGCGGCTCAGTGCCCCTATACCCTAAACGGTTTAGGGTTTAGGGTTTGGGGTTTGGGGTTTAGGGTTTAGGGTTTAGGGTTTGGGGTTTAGGGTTTAGGATTTAGGGTTTAGGGTTTAGGAAGTTCCCCAGAAAGAGGTGAAGCTGTTTACGTCAACTCCTTGGGCGCCGGACTCGAGTTGGCAAGTTGGTTCCATTGTTGCATAGATGTAGCTTTATGCTTAGGGGTACTTAGAAATATTTTTAAATCTTTGGCTACTATAAACCCTAAGAAGCACCTAAAATCATAATTTTTGCTAGGGGTCTAAGCAGTATAGTATGGGCATTCCGATTTAGGGGTTAAGGGTATACCGTTTAGGGGTTTAGCAGGGTAGGTAATCCTCTAAATAGGTTCCCCAAAGAACGGCACCCTTCTAAACACGAGCCTAAATGCAACTCGAGAGCCACCCTTCTGCTGTAGACTGCTCGGCTTATATCACCCTAAGGGTCCAAGTGCCCAAATAGTAGGGTTTCAAGGTCCAAAAACCATTCAGAGTATGGATTTTGGGGCCTAAAACCTTACTATTTGGGTACTCGGACCCTCTGGGTCAAACATTCTTGAGGCCCCACAACTGCGAAGCAGAGGGTGCCTTCGCCGGGCCCCAGAACCATGCAAAACTGAAAACTTGACTAATAGTAATAATAATAGTAATAATAATAGTAGTAATGATAATAGTAGTAGGAATAGTAATAGTAGTAATAATAATAGTAACAATAATTGTAGAGTTTAAAGGCCAACTTCCAGGTGTTCGGAAGGACCCCGCCGGATGGTAGGTGCGCCTGATGCATGGATGGTGGGGCCCCGGATGTTCTCAAAAGAGAGCTTACATGATTCTTGCTTGCACTACAGGCCGGAACTGTCCGCGTTTTTCCTTGCCCTGTCGAGATGGATGATTTTCCAAGGCTATGTAGGCCTTTGGGAACTTGTGCAATTGCTCCTCTTGGGCCTAAGAGGATCTTACTTACGCTTTGGCTTGAGGCCCAAAGGGCCAACGTAGTGTAGCAAGATTTGCAAAACAGGAAAAGCATTGGTGTCCCAGCTAGCTAACTACACACACTGTCCGAAGTACCTACATAGTACCATGTACGGTCTCTGTCGTAGAAAAACGGACTATGGTTCGGAGAAGTATAAACCCTAAACCCTAAAACCCAAAAGCCCTAAGCCCCCAAGCTTTCGGGATGTCATGTCGGTCCTCGGAAACGTGTGGGCCAGTACCTGGGGCATGCCGGGTGCTGAACCCGGCTCCTCCAGCGTGCCGGCATTTCAACCTTGTCCGTCAAAGCCCAGAGGTCCCAAAGAACCCGATCATCGTTTGAAAACTAGGGGTTTTATTAGAGGTTCTGTAGGAGTCTCAGCCGGGCGGCAAGGGTCCAAAAGACCTACGTACTAGTTAGGTACTTGCATTTCGAGTTAGGCACTTGGAGCCTTTGGGCGGGGAAACAAGACGGCGATGCCGGCACAGACCCAGCCAGGTGAGCGGTCAAAAGCCCTCAAGGCGGTCCAATGCTTCGCTTTAGGGACTCGAGGGTTTAGGGTTCAGGCTTGAGGAAGTTATGGGTTTCGGGTCCCTAAACCCTAAGGGTTTAGGGTTTAGGGTTTAGGGTTTAGGGTAAGTCCTAACTCCGGTTTGCATTGCATTTTGTCTTCAAGGGGATGGCAAACCACGTCGCAATGTGCAGAGACCTGTCTGACAGGATTGAACGCACGTATGGCCACAACCACATAATATGTAAACAAGTGTGACAACCTGGTGTGCCCGGATGAGACAGGTTTCTCGACAAAGTAATCAGGAAACAAGCATTGTTTTTGACCTTGATGCTATTAGCCCTATACCCAAAATCCCTGAACCCTACAGCCTAAAATCCCTTAACCCTAAATCCTCGGACCCTGAATCCCTAAGCCAAAACCCTACATCCCGAAAGCACAGAGCCCCCTAAACCCTAAACCCTAAACCCTAAACCCTAAATCCTTCCTCAGGCCACAGAGCCTCATCACTGTAATCTCCATGGGTAGTTGTCAAAATCTTTTGGGGTACCCTAAATTAAATAATAGGTGCCGTATTATCATAAGGACCCAACAAGGGACCATAATTTTGACAACTACCCCCATCTTGTCAGGCCAGACATCTTTGGAATGGCTGAGGGGCACCAGCTCTGGCCTCGACCTCGCAGACTCCAGAACGCGGGTGGCAAAAGCTGGTTTAGGGTTTAGGGTTTAGGGTTTAGGGTTTAGGGTTTAGCTGAGTTCGGTGATGTGGTGATTAGCTGGTGGTGGAGTAGGAAATTTTTGGGGCTCTATGTTCCCTATGCAAGCCCGAAGAACTCGCAAAAGTTCATCCTGAGTTCCCCAAGATACTGGGCAAGTAGGACTAGGCCCCGTTATTTCCATAGTGTTTGGCGTCTAGGGCCTGCAGTGTCGAGGGAGGAAGCTCGCGGGTCAGGATGGCCCTACGTCTCAAACCAAAGACCCCAAAAAGGGTTTAGGGTTTAGGGTTTTTAGGGTTTAGGGTTTGGGGCTGAAACCAAACACCCCAAAAAG